TCTCAATTCGCATATGCAAGAGATAGAGAGACATTCGTCTATTGTAATTAATTGTCGATTTTCTCTTGATTGAGATATTGACATAATATTATGTATCTTTATGTTTAAACATTGATCATATTTAATTTTAAATATTACTATACGTTCTCAGCACAGAACCAAAACATTTTAAAGCGTTATTTCTTAAAAACTGTTGGTTGTCTTTTTTGTAAAATAAATCAAAACTCCTAGAATGGAAGCAATATATATATCTGTACCTCAGAGCCCTCAGTCCAAAAAGTTAATTATGCGTGGCGGCCATTTAAAGATGAGCCGTTGTTTTATTTTACTATACAGGGTGTCCCAAAAGTCAACGATATCCTTTGGAGGACTGATAGACCAACTCATGACTAAGCAGAAAATCAATATGACCTTAGTAAAAAAATCGTTATGAATTTTGTAAAACTTGACACCTTAGATCAGTTTTTCGAGTGCCACAGCTAGAAAATCTGCTATTAATTTAATTTTGAATTGTAATTAATAGCAGTCCTATTCAGTGTTACGTAAAATAAAATAAAATCTAGACTCACAGAATAAACTAACACATTAATCATTATAACCCTAACACAGTAAAAAAAAAGCCTAATAACCAAACTCTACTAGATTTGTAAACATTAGATAACAGAATAATTGCGCTTGTCATTTGTTTAACTAATAAATAAATGCAATACTTAATTTTGGAACTTAAAAAAAAAGACAAAACTCTACCACAAAACGTGCTTGGGAGAAAATTTATTAAAAACAACTGACACACTTTACCAAGTGCAGGAACTATATGACTAGGACACGGACAATGACAATAACGAACAAGATAAAGACCTCGACTAGGAAACTACACCCCTGCAGCGAAATAACAACTCCCCAACTCCAAATAGTAACCCCAAATGTTTGGAGTAATACTAATCGACTGGTCTAGGGGGATTCCGCGTTGTACTTAGTTTTAAGTCGGCGTAATTGTCCCCCAAAAACCAACACCCTCCCGTCCCTCCTCCTATACCCCACTGGGCGTATAGCATCGGCTCGGCGAACCCGAGAATGGCTATTAAAACTATTCGCATCTCGCTCTCGAGCCCCAAATAGGGAAAAGTACGGAACGCAATGGACATTCGCACCCAGCAAACACGGCAAAAATCGGCGTAAGTAAACATAGGCCTGTACACTGTACAGTGTACAGGGTCCGAGAGTGATGATGAAATGGGGCTGGTTATACGTCTCTTATACTCATACTCATAGTATGTATTGTCAGTGGCGGCTGGTGGATTTTGGGTATACCAATATTTCAGTTATTAGACATGGGACCCACACCAAATTTATAATAGTTTATAATGACATTAAATAGACAAGTTCTGCGAAAACAGAATTTAAATTGAAGTTTGCGAAAAAAGTTAGTTTTCCCTGTCGTCTCACCCGCCTATTTAATATAATTTAAATTAAAGTGGTGCAATTTATTTTCTACTATAATTTATCGACAAATTTAAAATTTAAAAAATCCAAATATTACAGGTTTTATACTATTTTAAATATTTTTTTATTTTAATAAATTAAATAATAAAAATTTAAAATCGAATAAAATCTGTAATATTTGGATTTTTTAAATAAAATTTTAAATTTGTCGATAAATTATAGTAGATAATAAATTCCACCACTTTAATTTGAATTATCTTAAATAGGGGGGCCTGGGGGCGGGTGAGGCGACAGGAAAAATTAAATTTTTTTCGCAAACTTCAATTTAAATTCTGTTTGGGCAGAACTTGTCTATTTAATGTCATTATAAACTATTATAAATTTGGTGTGGGTCCCATGTCTAATAACTGAGATATTGGTATACATAAAATCCACCAGCCGCCACTGTGTATTGTATTGTACCTAATAATAATTAGAGTTAAGTATTATTTTTATAATTTTTTTTGTCCATGTCAATTTAAAAAAAATACATTATAAACTAAATCAAAAACTTATTATCATTATTTATTTTTTGTAATAAAAAACCTCATAAAACCGATTTTTTGTTGCGAATTGAGTATAAACTTTATATTATAAAGACATGTATTTTTATTGCTTATTCCCTGATCAAATCAATATCGGAGGCCGATTCACTTTTATCATTCTTTGAAAAAAGATACCTAAAAAGATAAAACAAACATATCCTATGAATTTGTTTTGACATTTACGTCTAGCCAACGATAAAGAAATGTATTTTCATCAGTTTTACTTATCAATCTAATGAGAAAAAACAATTTTTTTATTAAATATCCTTTAGTAACATCTGTTAGTTTCATACTTTTTATGTTCGTATAAAAATAAAATTGTATTCAATAATGTTTTTTTTTTAAGTTACTATATTTTAAATATCAACACTTTTTTATGCCTTTTCGTATTTGGCAATTCTTATAACATGTTTTTAGATTGTTTTTATTAAATTATTTCTGATTTTTTTTGCTGTTCTATACCCTTGGTTAAGTTTGTATCTATTTAATTCTAATTTTGATTGCAAATGTGAGTAAAAAAAACAATAGATTTTGTAACCATTTTGTTATTAAGTAACTAAAACAAAATAAAGAGTATATTGTACAATGAGTAAAGAAAATGGTCCATTAAACACTGTAATAGACAGCCAAAATAAATAAAATATCAGGTGCCAGAGAGTTTTTGGGGTCGCTGAAACCGAATCTGACCTCAGAATTTCTCCATCAGGTCACAATTTTTTTCTAGGGGTGCAAAAATTCCTTTAATTCAGCTGTTTTAAAATGTAAGGTAATCTCTTTCCAAAAAAGGCTTAAAAATAAAAAAACCTAATGATTGTCACCCTTTTATCCCAAGTATACCTGGGAATATTTCCCCCTTTTTATCAATTCTAAAAAACTATTTTAATGGCTGTTTTATGAACAAGCATTTGTTAGACACAGCTGTGCACAGGAGCGGAGAGAGCTTGGCAAGAATTTGGCTGCATAATCAATCATTCTTTAATTATTTATTTATTTTATTTTAAGTTTTAATGTGCTCCCAACAGGCACGGGCCCAATTACAGGAATAAACAGACAAATAAAAATAAACAGCCATACCTCTGGTGGGATTCAAACCCACGACCTCTCGGATTGTAATCCGCAGCGTTGACTACTACACCACTGAGGGCGGCGAGTTCCACATTATATTTTGTCTCACAATCAAATCAAAAATTAAATAAAAACTAACACTTTTGAAGAAATTATTTAACCTTAATTGTATTGTTGACAATGGCAACTTGACAGATAAGTTTGGTTTTAAGGTTAAGTTTTAAAATAGTACATTATCCACAGACCTGTGACATTATCTAACAAGCGGAGAAAGCCCTTAATAAAGCCGAGCTATTTTTTTCAAGCTACATTTTGTCATAGGTTTGACGTTTGACATACCTAATATGTAATATTATTAATATTAAAAATAAAGTCTTTCCATGCAGGAAAAAATTTGAGGATGATCTTTTAGGTATCATATATGAAAAACCGTTGCCGTTTTAATTTTTAGTTGCTTTATTTTTAATCGGCACCCTTTAGAAACCTGAAATTGTGTCATTTTCTTACTCTCTTATAAGAGGCTAAAACTTTTTTCTGTGGCAATTATTGAAATGATTGTAATTTTATTTTACTGCCTAGTAAGTATGTTTTCAATATTAATTATTATTATCTAATTAGTTCATCTCATAGAAGAATGGTAAACCACTAAGATTTGTAATTTGCCAATTTTTGTGATTTTTGTCCTGCTCCTGTGCCTAATCTGGTAAATCTAGAAAGTTGCTTTTTTCAGGTATCAAGTACTTATACAATAGAAAACGTAACTATTATTTTAAGTTTCTAGACTATCATTTTCTTTAATAAAAAAATTATTAAAACTTGATAATTTTCAAAATTAGCCAATTTTGCCCTCGAAAATCATTATGTTGAGGAAAAAATAAAAATCTGAAACTTGGGTGGGGACTACATTTCCTGAAAGTTTCAGATTTTTATTTTTTCCTCAACATAATGATTTCTGAGGGCAAAATTGACTAATTTTAAGAATTATCAAGTATCGATAATTTTTTTAATAAAGAAAATGATAGTCTTGAAACTTAAAATAATAGTTACGTTTTCTATTGTATAAGACTTATACAATAGAAAACGTAACTATTATTTTAAGTTTTTGTCTGGCTCCTGTGCCTATTCTACTAAATCTAGAAAGTTATTTTTTTCAGGTATCAAGTACTTATACTATAAGTACTTAATACCTGAAAAAAAATAACTTGGCAAATTATCATGAATCTTTAGTGGTTTACCATTCTTTTATGAGATTAACTAATTTGATAATAATAATTTATATCGAAAACTCACTTACTAAACAGTAAAACAAAATTAAAATCATTTCAATATTTGTCACAAAAAAAAAGTTATGGCCCACTATAAGAGAGTAAGAAACTGGCACGATTTCAGATTTCTAAAGGGTGCCGATTAAAAATAAAGAATCCAAAAATTAAAACGGCAACGGATTTTCATATTTCATAGCTAAAAGATCATCCTCAATTTTTTTTTATCAAAATAAAAAATCAAGCAGCGCACCCCATTTGGTGTTTTTATTTGGAATGACTCGTATGTAAAAAATAGCTCTAATTTATTGTTTACAATTGTCTTCCTCTTCTTCTTCTTTTGCATTCCTACACTAGTGAAACAATTATTTTGTTATGCAACTAGTGCAGCAATAGCTTACTTTCTTCATTTTTTTCGAGCGAATAATGTTTTAACTCCATGTGAATGTGGGACAAAATTTGTATTTTTATATAATTTATTTAAACTAATAAGAAAAATGTATAAGGAAATATCATTTATCAAATTTTAAAAATATTTCAAAAAACTAGGATTTAACAATAAAATGCTATTTGTCTAAAATTGACATTAAATTTTAGGAATCTTTAATTATTATATAACTAATTTTAACTTGTATAAACATTAAAGATGGCGCCGACAGCGCGAGAAGCATTAAAGAGTACTAGTGAAATAACCTGCAAATATTGCGAAAGAAAAGTTGTGAATCCCATAAAATGTGTAAAGGGCAATGAGTTATTCCATCCATTCTGTTTAATCCAGGCCGGATCCCTTAAAAAAGCTTTATGTAAACATGTGGCTGAAGAATCAGAAGAGGCTGAATCATCAAATAATGATGTAATTTACTTACTCAGGATAATAAGAGAACTGGAAGAAAAGAATGGTATTTTAATCGAAAATTGTCAACTATGGAAAGATAAGGCTAATTATTTAGAAAATAAGATAAATAATGTGAACACAAAAAACTCGATCAACAAAAAAAACGCAGAAATATCATTAAATAAAACAAACAACAGCGAAGTAAACAACAAAACAAACCGATACACCTGAATTACAATCAGAAAATCAAAAACCTGAAAGTATTTATAAATGACCAACCAAGGGGAGAAAAAGAGGAACCGTTAAAAACAAAAAACATAAACAAAACAAGCAGATTATTAAAGAAGATAATAAATGGGTGCTAATTAAGAAAAACAAAACTATTCAAGTAGGCAGTAAATAAAACGACAATGAACTAACTGATCCTTCTTTAAAACTTTTTGAACCAGTAACTTACTAAGAACCACACATGCAAAAGATGTGTATAGTATAACAACTTCCTTCCTAAAAAATATTACAGAAGAAGTGGTGTACCCAGTCACTAAAATAATAAATAAAAGTCTTATTGAAGGACATTTTCCATCTTTTTTAAAAGAAGCCAAGATAATTTCAGTCTTTAAAAAAGCAAACGAAAACGATACAAGTAACTTCAGACCTATTTAAATTTTACCAGCCTAATCAAGAATATTTGAAAATGTAATTAAAAAGAGAATGGTGGGTTTTATGGAAAAATACTGTATAGTAGGTAATCAGCAATATGGTTTCAGAAAAAACAGCTTTAATAGATATGATGTATGAACTTTACTAAGCTGATGATAAAAACGAAAAAAATTGAATTAATTTCTTGCGATTTGTCCAAAGCAGTTAATCAGGAAATATTACTCAACAAATTGGAACATTATGGATTCAGAGGAAGACCGCTAAAACGGAAAAAGTCATACTTGGAAAATATACATCATATGGTAACCAATAATAAAACATGGAGTTCCACAAGGATTGCTATTGGGCCCAATCTTAATAATATATTTAATATTATATTTATAATATATTTATAATATACGTAAATGACTTACTACTTAAAGATGAAAATGTCAATACCTACCTCTATGCTGACGACACCACCTACATGGTTCATATGAGAAATATCTCCGAGCTTAAAATAAAGGAGCACGAAATTTTAAGAAAAAGTGAAAACTGGTTTACCAATAACAAATTAAAAATAAACACAGACATAAACCCAAATACTAAGTATAGGAGATATTAATATAAATAATAAAAATCTTAAATTTCTAGGCATAATCTTAGATAATAAACTTAACTGGTCGGATCATATTAATATGGTGGAAAAAAATATCTAAGGCCACATTAAGTATCCAAATGATGAAAAAAATCGGAACACATGAAATCGCCAAAACAGCCTACTATGCAAATTGCAACAGCCTACTTTCTTATGGTTTTCTCCTATGGGGTACCTATGTACATCTCCTGCTTCTGCTAAGTTGTTTAAATCACAAAAACGAGCTATGTGTAGCCTAAGACAAATCGAAAACTGTAGAGAATATTTTAAAAAAGAACAAATACTTACACTACCTTTACTGTATATTTTTGAATCTATAAAATATGTTATGAATAATATTCAAAGATTTACACAAAATAACCAACATAACCTAAATACAAGAAACAGAAATAAACTACATATACCAATACATTAAAAAAAAATAACACAGCAGGGCGTTGACTACTGGGGGATCAAAATCTTCAACCATCTACCTAAGTCTTGGAATCTCTTACAATTAAGAAAAACGAATACTTACTCTATTAAAATTACACCTACTCACCTTTTACTCAATTCAAGAGTTTTAGACCTTAAATTTTAATCAAATTTATATTATTTATTATTTTATTTTATATATTTATTGCATTGTTTGTGTGCCAATTTTATATTTACCTCTATATTAGTATTTGTGACACTTCATGTAAATTTTTTTAATGATCATCTATCATCTATATATCTATCTATTTATCGATATAAATATAAAGTAAATACAGTAAATACAAGGCTGTGGATTTTATAAAGGACAGCAAATTTTATTTCTTAAATATATAAATTTTTACTTTTTACTTAATAAACCATCAAATTTACTTATACATGTTCTATTTTATGAGGTTACGTTTGTCAGGTCATAAAATAGGTAGGCATCTCGTAAATATTTTATAATATACTATAAAACACTTCTTGAGCCCCTTATTATAAAACTAGTTTATATTATATCATATTAAATATTAAATTGTTCTTAAAAATACCAAGCTTGTTAAATTAAATTACAATTATAAATTCCTTTAAACAATAATTAAATCCTTCCTCACAATATTTAAATAATTTTTTATAAAACACATAAAAATCATGGTATCTAATGGTTGTTGTATTGGGTTTATAAAAAAGATAATTTTTGCCGCGGCTGGCCTTATTTTCACCACAAAATCTTGTTTAGGGAAAATAAGTACTTATTTTTTATTAAATGGCAACGTAAACAAACCAAATAACCGAATTTGTAATCAAAATAATCCACAAGCCATTATTGTGACGGTGCGCCGTTATTTCTCCAATAAGTCTGTTTTGTCATTTATTAAATACATTTTATTTAAAGACGTCAATCAGAACGTTATGGACCTGTAAGATTGTCTACACAATCGTGTGATATTAAAACTATGGATGTTTTTCAGTGGGTATATGTGAAGTAGCAATAGGTACTTCAAAAAGACTATAGTCTACGCCGATAAACCAAGTTGGACCACTTGGAATTTTATGTGGTTTAGAATATTTAAATAAAAAATACAATTTCTTTTCGTATTTTTAAAAAAGAAAGGAGCATAAACTAACTTAAGCTTACATTTGCAGCGTTATTGCAGATATTAGGCCCAGGTTCTTAAAAAAGTTGTTAAAAAGAAAAGTGTTGCTAACCATAAAATCAGCACCGTAGTTGGCAGATTTTGAGACATTTTTGCAAATTACTTTGAAACGATCGCGACTTGTTTGCAACTACTATTTTTAATAAAAAACATATATTATTTTTACAGGGGGGTTAGAATTTTATAAGCCGTAATAGCATGAAAGGAAAAATAAGAAACTAATACTAAACCATTTTAATAAGTTAAAACTTAAACAGTGTGTATAGCAACTATAAACTTTAAAAAAATGGTATAGTTAAACATAAAAGAAACTCTAAACAAACGCAATATTATATTGCCAATATACAATTTTAATAATTAAGTTGGCATATATAAGACCTTACATTTTTTATTATTATAAAGTATAGGTACGTGGCATAATTATGCGTATACGTGGCATTTTTATCGCTTAAACCTGTAACAAAAAGTATTCTCTATTCTCTATTTTTAAGACTTTTTCTTAATTTCCTATAGGAGTATACTGAATTTTCTTATTAAAGATTGGATTTAAGAATTAAACGAAAAAATTTTCTCCAGATTTAAGCCAAGGATTGCAGTATTAAGGTGTTCTAATCTTCTTAAAGTTAATAGAAAAAGTTTCTTATAATTTTTGTTTGGGGCACACAAAAACAAACTTTCTTGAAAATATAAGATAAAAATTAAACAATACACTCAGAGAAATACCATGCCATGAAAAGCATATGAAATTATATTAATTTAAATATTCGGGTAAATTTAATTCAAATAGAAAAATTTGTAGTTTTATATTCATTTACCAATAGTTTTACAATGTTTTGAAACACTTTTAAAGTGTACCCTCCTTAAAATATATGTACAAAAAGAAATATATTTATTTCATTATTGCCTTTCTCAACATTGTTTCAAAAAGATATTTATTATACAATTGTTATACACCTATTAATTTAATGGGACACACCAATGACGCCAAAACATATTTGAATCCCTTTGAATTATTATCGTTTTGAATGATTCTACATTTTTTCTCTCAGTGTAGGATTGCTTTCGAATATGTGGATTAAAAATAATAAGGTTATACTTATATTTCCAAATGAATACAAAGGCGAATATAATAATGTTTTTATAGGATACTGGAAACTATTCTTTTTTGGAAATTTTTGTTAATACAAACTTAACAACGATGTTAAATATACAAAAATGTTTTAAAAGGTTTAAGGTATGTATAATTTTAAAAAACCTAGAACAGCCTGATCCTTAAATTTTTACTTGAACTACACTGAATTACGTTTTTTGTCTTCATACCTGCAATCTTTATTTTATAAATCACTGCATTGCTGCTTATGAAAAGTGTAAAATATGACAGTATATAGAATTGACTATATCTCAAAAATTGCTCTGATTTAATAATTTGACGGTATTTTCGGATTCAGAAGACTATTTTACTTAAGAATTGGCTGTTAAATGTTTGAGATACCATAGTATCCCACGGATATCCATGGTATAAGTAAAAAAGCAGCTACTAATAACTGAAGTAACTAGTCATTTTTGACTAATTCATTCTCTATAGAGAGTAGGGTTAGAGGGAAAATATAGATAAGCTTTAAAATATGGCCTTTAAAATCTTAGTATTAGGTTAATGCAGTATATAACTCATTTAAAACGGTAGTTTAGAACCGATGAAAATAAGACCCTTTAAAAATCAGAAAAACTAAGAATACAACGTAAATTTAGGGAAAAAACGGAATAAATAATAGATATACCTAAATAAATGCGAGGGAATTCCAATGATAGCAATGTTTTAATTATGCACAAAAGACAGCTGAGATGTGTCCCTATATAGTTAATATAATATATATATATATATATATATATATATACACTCACAGGCAAAATAATCGATCCACCCAAATTTTCGATGAATTTCAGTCGCAAATAACTTTTTTATTTGATTTCGGATTTAAACAAATATTAAAGAAAAATGTAGATAAATTAATGGAGAATCGCTCACATTTTAAAAATTTATTAAAAAATAGACGTTTGTTTATAATATACAGGTTTAAACAGATGTTTTTTACCAAAAGTTTAAGACACAGAGTGTCTTAAACTTTTGGTTAGAGTGGCAAAACCGTATATTGTTCTAAATAAAGTTTTAATTATCAAGTAACATCTATTTTTAACAGTTTTATTTTTGGTTCACCTTGATATATTTATTTTTGTGAAAAATATTGATTTTTTAAAAAATCATTGCAATTTTCAATTTTTTTTTTGTGCGAAGAACTAAGGTTGCTATGGTCCAACCATAGCCTATGGAGGATGACACTAACATTTTTGTTGAATCATCCCACACTAGGACATGTCATATACGGCTATTAAAAGCTATTAAATTGTTTTTTTTTTTTACTTTTAAGGTGTTTCTTACTTTTAAACATTGATATGTCTCCAACTGATGCCGCCCTTTGTACTTTACTTCTTGTGACGTTTAAAACACTTGTCACATAATACTGTGACCGTCCATCCTGGATTAAAGCAATGACTATGGCAACATCAGTCGGAGACATATCCATTTTTGGCCACATTTTTGTCATTTCAGTACACCGCGGAGGGGTCCCAATTAAAGTTTTAGCTCTTATTCGAAACTATTGATCGGCGGAGAATTGTATGTATAGGTACATACATAATGGGACATTCATTGTACTTTAAGTTTTACAACTTGTGCATTGAGACTCTCCATACTATAGAAAGTAGAAATTTACTTAATTTTTTGATAATTCTTTCCAAACAGATCTCTTTGTGCACTTATAGGTCCTATTAAATAGAAGAATAAATTAATAATAGTTCTGGAAAAAGTAATGTAGAGAAAAAATAAAGGTTAACAGCAAAAAATACAATTACCAAGTAAAATATTATCAATTCATATAACGATGGCTATTGCTAATAAAATGTATTTGAAAAATTTGCCATTTCGAGGTTTTGGTTTAAATAAATAGAATAAATAAAAAACAAAAACAAACAATGGTATTGTAAACATAAGCAATTTAAATGCCAATCTAAATTTAAGGGCGTAAAATGCTGTTTTACCTGCGGTCATTAATTATTTTATACACAGAAAAAACGCTAGCATAGCATGAATGGGTAAGACATTAAACCAATGGGATCTTGTAATCCGTATTCCTAAATAACAGTTCCTATAATACCAATAGGTAGTTAGCACTTGGTTTATAATCGTTTACTGTTTTTAAATTAACAACAAAAGTTATCGCTTCTAAATCTATTGATATTCATATTGATATTTATTTGTTAGAATGGTAGAATGTTATTGCATTAAATTCTAATTTGATTTATTTAATAACGTTACTATAGTATACAATTAACGCAATAAATTCTTTGACATTTGTGTATAGGTATAGAACCCTCTTGTGTATTGAGGTTTATAGATTTTTTAGGCCTTACAAGTCATTTCTCGCACTATGCTTATTTTATATTTTTAAATATTTTGAGTTCTACTACCTGATAAATTTTTCGAAAACCTTTAGTAGCACTCTGTATATGTGTAACGACTATATTTCATAATTATATATCGCATTTTGGATCGCGTGAAAATTGAATTTTAGGACAAAGTTACAGTTATTTTGTAACTTATTTTTCCGTCGTTGTCACATCGCTATTGATATTTGCCACCTTTTATTGCATGTAGACAATACGAGGCCCCTCAGAGCCCCTTCGGAGCTCCCCAGGATATACCCCTGGTAACGGCCCTGGTGCCAACACAGGTAATCTTTCTTTTTAAATTTGGTGAATATGCCTTAATTTATGCATAAATTAAAGCACCATTTGTTTATTTAAAATGTATGTCTCATAATAGTATCTATATTATGTATCAAGTTTAATAAACGCCAGCGAGCTTGCGAGCGAGTGCTTAAATTAATGAGTGTATAGAAAAGTTTATAAACGAGGTGCATACTATACTTTTTCTACGAAAAATACTTATTATTATCTTAAAATGATTTAAATCTAAAATTTGTATAGAGCGCCATCTATGAAACAATAGGGGAATCTGTGTGTCACCGTAAAATGTCAAATTATTATATTTTATAAAGGTTATAAATCGAAATGTATTTATTGAAAATTTACAGTTTTTCACAGTGAAAGTAAAGAAAATGTTTTATGAGCACTTTACAGTGGAGTCCGTGCCCGAATTTAAGTTATAGTTTACTGCCGGCGAAATTTAAAGGTCAGTACAATGTTCATATAAACTTTTCAAATATTGGCGTTGAGAAACTATTTAATACTTTAGTATTTTTGTATTGAGATAATAAAATAATTTTCACATTTAGTATTATTTTACAAGAAAGGCACTTTATTTTAACAATTGTAGGACATTTGACAACTGTCAACTAACTTAAAACTAACTTCAGCCCGTGACTAAAGCGACTTAAAGCCACAACTTGTCAATGTGTATTTAAAAGGTCACTTAGTGTCATGGAAACATGTACGATAAAGGGCGTTTTAAAGGTGGGAGTAGAAAAATGTATATTATGTATCAAGTTTAATAAACGCCATTTTAGTCCCGAATTTAGTTAGACACGAGCAAGCTTGCGAGCGAGTGTTTAATTAAATGAGTATCTAGAAAAGTTTATAAACGAGTTGCATACCATAATTTTTCTACGACAAATACCTATTATTATCTAAAAATGATATAAATTAAATATTTGACCGGCGTGCCTGTCAAAATGTGAAAAGGACAAATCCGATATAAAAGCAGTGAAAATAAGGAAAATGTTTTATGGTCAATCCAAGGTGAAGTCTTCACCCGAAATTTTTAATGGTTAATCAGTTAAATCTACTTTACTGCCGGTGAAACTATTTAATACTTTTGTATTTTTGTATTGAGAATAAAATAATTTTCCATTTAGTATTATTTTACAAGAAAGGCACTTAATTTTAACAATTGTATGACATTTGACAACTATAGTATTATTTATATACATATATATATATATATATATATATACATACATATATATGTATATATATTATATATTATATATGTATAATATATACATATTATATCCACTAACTTAAAACTAACTTCAGCCCGTTACTAAAATGCCATAAAGTCACAACTTGTCAATGTGTATTTAAAGGGTCACTTAGTGTCATGGAAATATGTATAATAATGGGCGTTTTAAAGGTGGGAATGGAAAAAATTGCAAACGGGATGGGTGGGTTAGTTCTTTACTAAGCATAATCTTTAATATCCTCTTTGGTCTGCGTGTTAGTACTACTTAGTTAATGTATGGATTCTAAAACATTTTTTGTATGACAAAAATATTTACTTGGATTAAAAAAATATTAATAAAAATGTATGATTGTTTCTAAACTATTAGCTAATTTGTTTTATTGAAATTTGAATTGAATTTGTTTCCGAATACATTAAATATTTGTACATATTTTGGTCGAGTTTTATAAAAAATATAAAACATGGCCAATATAGTGTTATCCATTTTATTTTTTTAAGAAAAATTAAATAAAAATATTTACATATGAATATACTAAAAGGACTTAAAAAAATCTAATGGACATTTTAATTTCAGAATATGTTATGAAACGTAAGCCACTAAATTTTTTATTCCGTTAAAATTTTTTTCTGGCTACAATACCTGCATTATTTTATATTTGTTTTGATCTTTTTTACATAAAAACAGAGACTGATTTACATATGTACATATTTAACGCCTACACTGTGAAAAAGTTTGGTAATTTTAAACAAATATATTTAATAGATTCCAAATTTCATTATTTGAACAATAACGAATTTAAATCGAAAAAGTTTATGTAAAATTATAAAAAGCAGTTCTATTTTAAATATATTTTTTTCGTTTAAATATGGTGTTTAATAATTATTATAATTAAATTAAAATAACCCAAATTTTTATTTCAGTGTATGCTACATATTTTTTAGGAAACTAAAAATAGGTAATAAAATATGCAATATAAAAGTAATAACTTATGCATATATGCAAATGTTTATTTTTATTTAAAAATGGGTTAATAATTATTTGCAGAATATCCTATCTAAGCATTTCCTAATTATCTATCTCACTATTATAATAGTAGGAAAATTACTCAAAGTAAATTTACAAAAGTTTGCGAAAAAATAGAAAATATATTAAATATAAATATATATTTTAAATATAGTTAAAACTTTGTTGTTAGTGGATTAGACAAATTTTTCGACAAAATTTCCCTTTTCCAAATCCAATTTCTAGTTTTTTACTTTTCAGCCCACCCTAGTGTACACACTGGACAACACCAGGAACCCCAAGAAATTTAAGGACAGTTCAAAAGGTTTACCCTTTTAAGGGTGGCACAATTATGGTATAGGGTGATATATGTTTAGGATGAAGATCCAAATTATACATGTGTGAAAACACGATAAATAGTGAGTTTTATAAAGAACAGATTATAAATAATGTTGTTACCACTGTTTACGCTGTAGGTAAAATTTTCATTTTCTTCAAGAAGGGGTTACAGAACTTAATAAATTTAAAATTATAGAAATAGTCCCACCGCCACATATATACGTTAATTTTAAAAAGTGTGTTGTTTTAAACCCAAACCCGAGTTAATACGACTAAATTTAAATTTAGACCCTTTGCCGGTGCTATTTCCGTATAAATGTGTAGCTGCTTATTGGGCCTATGTCCCCAAAGCCGTAAAAATTCGTCAGGTCAAGTGCCGTCACCATAATATTTTGTGAGGTTAGGTCCTAGGGATTAGGTAGTGAGGGGTTTTATTGTTTCAGTATTGTCCAAAAACTCCAAGGCAAACCCTCGCGCTGTGGCTTCAAATTCAATCGCTTTAACGAGTAAAAGAGTTAATTCCAAACGTAAAAGAAAGGATGATATTCTTGAAAATATTTGTGGTAGCAGCATTGATTCTAAAGAGGAGCCGTGTATCGATAGTGATAATGAATATGAGCCTAATTTAGATAGTGAGTCTAGCGATAAAGATATAAATGAAAATTTGTTTGAAAAAATTGAAAGTTGCTCAAACATTGAACCCGATTTAAATAATAATAATAAAGTACAAGTTCAAAATGCACTAACATGTGATTTGTCCCTAAATTGGAGTAAAACACCTTTTAATCCTACCATACATGCATTTGACGTTACAGATTCAGAAGCACATGTGGAGTCCATAGGTCAAGTAATCGTTTCCAAACCAGAAGAAAGACTATGCTTTCCATAAGCTACAAGTATTTTTTAAAAATATAGCTCTGTTTAAAAAACAACTTTCCCCATTTGAAAATCTCGCTATTGAGAGGACGTTTAAGATTTAAACAATACGTTAAGTCTAAACGCCATCGCTTTAAAATAAAACTTTTTCTTTTATGTGACTCTGAGACTGGTTACGTACTAAACATAATTATTTATCTTAATAAAGCTACAGAAATGGTTTATCTGGTTTAGTGGTGGTAAATCTTATGAAGCCATATTTAAATAAAGGTAATTCATTATATACGGATAACTGGTATACAAGTCTCACTTTATCTACATACCTACATGAAAAAAAAACAAATTAATGCGAAAAAATTCGTCCCAACCGTAAAGGAATGCAAAATTTAATGACAACAAAAATCGATGTCTACTCTCTAAAAATGAATTAGTCAAAAATGACTAATTTAATAGTTATTAGTGGCTGCTTTTTCACTTGTACCATGCTTAACCTTGGAATATCATGGTATCTCAAAATTTAACAGCCAATTCTTATGTAAAATTGTCCCCTGAATCCGAAAATACCATCAAAAGTTAAAAAAAGTGGAACAGTTTTTGAGATATAGTCAATTTTCCATTTAATATGGAATTGACTATATCTCAAAAATGCTCCACTTTCATAATTTTTGACGGTATTTTCGGATTCAGTGGATAATTTTACATAATAATTGGCTGTTAATATTTGGGATACCATGGTATTCCATGGTTAACCATGGTACAAGTGAAAAAGCAGCCACTAATAACTATTAAATTAGTCATTTTTGACCAATTCATTTTTAGAGAGTAGTAAACACTGACAAGCTGTTAAATGGAAAGATAGACGCGATGTTGTGATGTTAACTAGTCGCACAATGCAAATATGGCTGCAATAGATCTAATATGATGTTAAGTTTCACAGAATGTGCAAGTAAAACCGTTAAGTGGTATAAAAATAGTATATTCTGTAACAAGTTTGGAATACAGCATATTCCGCTCGAGTGAAGAGTTGGCACACGAGCCGAAGGTAGGCCTATCGCTCATGCACTGTATTTAAACCAAAATCTAGAAGAAGAAGCTCTAGCAGATTTTCACTTGAATCTTTTACATCTTTTTGAGTGGTAAGTTATTTGATATAAATGTTAAAAACTTTGTTACTTATTTGGTACTTACTTCAGATACCAGGTACAACGACCAATCAAGGTAAGATCTATGACTAAAAATCCTCACAGGCTCAATAGGCGATATTTTCCTTATACAGTTCCTGATAAAAAGGTTCGTCGATATGTTGTTTGTAGCCAAAGTAAGCTTCAGCCAAAAAAAGAAGTGGTCAAGGTACATTTGTGCAATATGTAATGTTGGTCTATGTGTTCATCCATGTTTTAAAGTATTTTATACCATGAAAACCTTTTAAGTAATAACATTTTTTAAATATTTTTATTTGTTTTAAAACAAATTTTATCCACTGGAACCTATCAAGCTTTTGTTATTAAACAGATTTTATGAACTGGAAACCTTTTAAGTTATAAAGTTTTTTAAACGTGTATTTTTATTTGCTAATAAACAATTTTTTTTAGCTTATTTGTTTATTTATTTGTTGTCAGACCGAAAGGGTTAAATCAGACTTTTTATTAACTTTTTGTTACATATTAATTTTGGGCTAGTATGCCAAGTTCCCTAACTTTTTAAGAGCAGTTTAGTATCTAGCTATGAACACTACATTGTTTCATTTAGCTAATTCTCAACATTGCAACGCGTTGTAAATAGATGGAAAGTTCAAAAGTTTCTATTAGCATCGTTTGAAAACACCATTAACCAAGTATAATAAAAAAGCTAAATTGCTAGTAAAAATTTTACCTACTTTGTATCTAACCGTTTTATAAACTTTTCGTTCGTTTTCTAAAACACATATTTGAGGCCTCTAAAAAGGGTTGCTTAATATAAAAGAATAGATTGCTTTAAAATTTTAAAAAGTATACAAAGAGAACACACAATTTAATTAAAAAAGGGACACCGAAATTTAGCCTCCGATATAAACACTATTGGATTTTTTTCATTGGGACACGCAATTTAAACAAATTAAAGGTAAACATAACTTGTAAAATTCCTGTAATAACACCAGAGATGTTCGTACGGGTTATCTAGAATTTCAAGTTTACCCACTGTATATTATTATTATGAATGATGATTCATAATCCAATTATCATGTCCGTACTTACTCATAAATATTTACTACAACATATCATAAACACTTTTAATTATAAAATATCTAATTAATTTATTTTATAAACGTCCACATAATAAATATTTGATTGGTTTTTTTACCAGTACAAAATAAAAGTAGGAGTTTATTAATACATATAATATATGTAACATATATTTATATATATATATATAACAATATTATTTACACTTACATGAAACAAAAAGATGTTATGGGTCTATTCGACACTTTATTGATAATGAGTGTTTAGAAACGTTTATAAACGAGTTGCAAACTGTACTATTTCTATGACAAATAATTATTTTTATCTAGCGGAGCGCGGCTATCTCGCGAGAGCGGCAATATCACTTTGCGCTCGAAATACACACAGGATTTTTTCTACAACCGGGGTTTCTATAAGAATGTTTGGTAAAAATTAATAATTATTGATAATCTCAAACTTGACTTTTGTGTCAAAAGTCGCAAATACACTAAACGTTTCTTTATTATGGTTTCCATGGTAACTTATCGAGCGTTTTGGTTACTTTGTCACAAAGTAAAAAACGCTCGCTCCTCGGACAAGTGCAACTTTGCGCTTTCTTTTGGAAGCGCAAATTTGTACTTTTTGTTTGGTTGTAGAAAACCTATGGTCCATAATTTATTTAGTTTTACGTATAGTGGCAAAATACTATGAGGCGCCGTTTGTGTCAAATATGTATTAATAAACTCCTACTTTTATTTTGTACTGGTAAAAAAACCAATCAAATATTTGTTATGTGGACGTTTATAAAATAAATTAATTAGATATTTTGTAATTAAAAGTGCAAATATTGCCTAGAGTTAAAAATAGTCTTTCAGAAAGAAGAAGAAAAATGAATTTTATCTGAAGTTGACGGTTGACGTCTAGGGTTAACGTATAACCGCATCGCACCGCATTAACCGCAGTCACCACCATGAGGGCTAAATTTAGTGAACTAAACTATGGTTTTATTTCAACCCTGCTTTATTTTATCATTAAAATAAACTAAATCCCATTTATACAGTTATTAAAAAAAATCGAAAATTCGATTTTTTTAATTACACCAATATTTTTTTAGATTTATCGATTAGAATCATATTAAAATCGAAAAATCGATACAACAACCGATAGCATGGTTGTTCGCATAAAAGGTTGACAATGCCAACTTGACATAGAAGCTGCAGTAATAGTTATTTATGTATCAGCAGTTAAGTCGTATTTTTTATCTTGAATGCGGAAATTATTTGCGGAGGCGAAAGCAGAGGCAAATAACCACGTTAGTGATAAAAAATGACTTTAATGCCAAGGTGCATAATAAATTTTATCCGAAATTACATTTAATAATACTAATAATTAATATTGGTGATTAAATCAAATGTCATTTGATGATCAAATCAAATGTCATTTGAATGTTGGAAGTGTCTACGTATACTGTTTGTTGCGACGGTTAATATATATTTGCCCGCCGGGGCGATATTTTAGTCTGATTAATAAAATTAACATATTATTTTTATTAAACAACATTTTTTGAAAGGGTCCAATCGACCTCCGCGACTGTGCTTTTTTTTAATATTATTTAGTTGCTGCTGAGGAGCAGTAGACACTTCTTAAAATGTATAATTGGTTGCATACAATACTCGTATTTATTTTACTTTACTGCCGATTGTTGACTACTTTACTGCCAATTTCGGATAAAAATATATTAATATAATGTGCCCGTCGTCTTTTATCAAATAATTTTTCTGTCATTCATAATTTTTAATTCGCTTAGAAAATAATTTGATAAAAAAATAATTTTATAATAAAATAATTTGATAAAAAATAATTTCTTAAATAATGCATATAATGAATTATTTATAAAGCAAAATAGGTTTATTTTGCACTATTAATTTTGACACAAACGGCGCCTCATAAAATACAAGCAATATTTTATTATTAGCATAGGTAAATGCATATTTTCCTTTAGGTGGATTTATTTAAAAGTTTTTTCTCTTACGATTGATCTAAAAGAAAAAAAGAATAAAAACGAAACTATTTATAGCATTATATGCATAGAAAGAATCCAATAAAGAAAGAACACCTGATGCCCCATTATTATCTTATCTGTGATTTGAGGAAACACAAGATTTATGCACCTCTGGAAATTGGTTTACAAGTTTGCAAATTGAATAAACCTGAGCACAAAACTTGATAAATATCAATATTAATAATAATAATATTATTAATATTTTTATCAATATTAATCAAATTTGGTGCTCAGGTTTTTAAATTAATTTAGTTAAAAGGATGTTTATCTTTTTTACTAAGGGCCGGTTTATCAATGTCCAGTTAAAGTTGCAGTTAGTTATCTGTTAGATAATTTCCATGGATACCATTGTTCTCACAACGATCGATATGAAATTTAACTGTCAGATAGACTAACTGGAACTAAACTAGAGATTGATAAACCGGCCCTAAATTGCGTTATTAAAAATTATAATGAACCTTTTATTCAGTGTTCTAGTTTTTATTGACCAGATGAAATATGAGAAGAGATTAAGTGTGAAATTGGATCATTTTAAAAGAAATCTTGGCATCAGGATTACCACCAAATTGCTTTTCCCGTTTGTTATCCTACTATACATCTCACTTTAGCCAACCTATTTGGCCAATCTTCAATTTAAATATCTCCTTATTACATTGAAATAATGTTACGGTGGAACTATGTAATCTCAAAATATTAAATCTTTAATTAAAAACTGAAATGGCAATTAAAATTAAGATTTATAATCCAATT